ATCTGGAGAAGAGAAGGGATTTGATAATAGCATTCAAATACCTGAAAGATGGTTATACAGAGGATGGTGATAGGCCATTCTCTGTGGCTGCAGGACATAGGACAAGAAATAATGGTCTTAAATTGCAAGACAGGAAATTTAGGCTGGATATGAGAGAGATCTTTCTCATTATGAGTGTGGTTTAAGTATTGGAACAGATTACCTAGGGAGACTGTGGAATTGTCATTGTTGGAAATTTTTCAGAGCAGCTTAGACAAACACTTGGCTATGATGATGTAGAGCAGAGGTGGCCAATCCGTGGCATGTGTGGCATAAGTGACATGGGCAGCCTGTGTGTGTATGTGGGGGAGGGGGTACACAGCAGACAAGGGAGGGGTAGGGAGCACAATAGCAGATAGGGCAGGGAGCAGAAAGCAGAGCATCAGATTAGGCAGGAAGCACAGGGCAGGAAGTAGAAAGCAGAGCAGCTGATTGGGCAGGGGAAGGAGATCGGAGTAGAACTCAGGGAGGTGTGGGGCTAATTTGTGGCATATATGCCAAAAAGGTTGGCCCTTGATATTTTAGAACAGGGGTGATCCTGCATTGGTTACTAAGTAGGGCTAAATGACCTTCTGAGGTCCTTACCACCCTATTATTCTATGTATACCTACACCATCCCTGAAAGATTTGCGTAATTTGCTCTTGAAAGCACTACACTGGCTAGAGTAGTATGACAACAATTGCCAAGACTGCATTTCTCCCTGTACAGGCTCTTTGTTTACCTGCTATTTTTTTAACATTTTCATTATGTGTATTACTCATATTGAACTTTTTCTAGGAAGGTGCTTTGCTTTGCTGTCACTGACATGTAGCACTGAATCCTATTTTACAAAGTTAATTAATGAACGGGGGGGGGGTTGGCGTTTCTGCCATAGTGAGCCAAGGCTCTGCTACGTTTGAACAATGTGAAAAAGCATTTTGCAGGTCAGGCAGTTAAATATTTGCTGATTTTTTTTTTTTTTTTTTTCTATAAAATTACCAGACGTATGTTTAATTAAATAGATATACTCTGTCATAAATAATTACTATTCCAAACCTGTCATGTCTAACCTTGGGTTATGAGTAATCTCTTGGGAGGATTGTTCATGTGAGAAGATATATGTGAAAACAATGCTGAGAATCTGGTATGTTTTCGTGCCAGTAATCCTTAGACTGGTGATTCTATTTTACTTTTCCAAAGTTAGTCAGATGAGCAGGGTGTGTGTGTGTGTGGGTGTGAGAGAGAGAGTGTTCAGGTTTTATGTGTGTAAAAAATAGTTTGTTTCACTCTGGTTTGTAACATTATATGGAATTATTTATTAATGGTGTAAAAAAATAGCAGTACATGATGTTAACATTTTTATTTAATGTCATAACCTACTTGCTAATTCCAAATATAATGCATTTTCCTGCACAGATGAAAACTGTAAAAAGAAGCTCAAAGATAAAAGTAAGGTTTCTGATGTCTTTCCACAAGCATTTATTCTTCAGACATGCTTTTCAGTGTAGCTTTCTGCATGTGTTTTTGAAATTCCTTTAACAGAAGCTGTTAGGTTGCATCATCTATAACCCTTGGTTACATTTTTATTAGAAATGGAGAGACACTGAAAAGTATTATGGCTATTAATGTAAATTTGTCTATAGAAAAAGCTATTAAGCAAAGCCTTTTGTTTCCAGGAGTAGCCTAACAGAGGCTTGAAGTACCTGTTCAGGGCTGGGCACCTGCACTACAGGCAAGATAAACCTCTTCTTAGGTTGTCCTGAAAGAGATTAAATTGATCCTTGTAGAAGCCAGATTTACAAATGGTTGAATACATAGATGTTATAGTAAGAAATACATTTATAAATAAAAAGTTCCCTCCATTAAAAAAAAAATGGTAGCCACAATGTTACTAAGCCAAATTCCCTGTTGGACGTAACTCCATTGAAATGAATGCAGTTGTACCAGGAGATAATTTGTTCTAGCATATCTAACTTGAAGCTTCATTTATCCAGAAAGCCAGTGATGCATAGAGTGCTATATATAAACTTGTATCTTTCCTTGTTCTTGTATTTTGCTTAAGAAGATTTTTTTTTCCTCTCAGTCCCATTGTTACTAGTCAGTAATCAGTGATATTTTAAAGCAGAGTTTTTGCTTGCTTCGTGCTTGTCACTTTTTTGCATTTGTAACAAATGAAAAAATGTCTTTGATCGTTCAGGCAAGTTCTAACAAAGAATATCCCCATTCTCTTATATTCAGATTAACACACAATGAAAAAAACGCAAACCTCTTTGATTGCTTAAGTGTTTAAGTAGAATTGGGGGTTTTTTCTTTGTAAATGAGGATTATAGATGAAGCACAGTTTGTACTGACTTCTGTTTTTTAAAGACTTTCCAAAGCTAAACTCCAGTGTGTATTTTAGCATGACTGCTCATTACAGTGACATACGCGCATTGTTCCATCATGCTGTTCTCATCTCTACATCCATTCTGGGTTATGACTAAGCATCGTTACACAAAGCTTTTCTCACCATGTTCACACTCCCTTGCTTCATTCATTGCTCTGTATTGCTGGGTTTGAGATTTCCTGTGGAATGTTTGGCTGTTGTCACAATGAAGAACTATTTTATTGTGCTCCTGCTGTGATGTTTTTATATTGAAGCTTTTATTTATAAGTGTTTAAATAAGCAAATAATGGAGGTCAAGCATAATTTAGTTACCTTTGACTCTGCAGTTTTCTTGTGATATTTTTTAATGGTGTGCAGACTTGGTATATTCATTTCCTTTTTTTAATCTTAAAATGGCTGAAGAGCTTTTTGAATGTTTCTTTTTTCATTAGAAGTAGCGAGCACTGCGAAGGGCTGTGCAAAGCTTTGGTCCCTGATTCGATTCGGTGGAGATTTGGCCCAATTTGGTGGCTGAATCTCTGAATCCGAATCACATTAGAGGACCCTTTAATCTCTCCAAATCAAACTGGAACCCTCCCAGTCGATTCGGAGAGATTTGGAAATGTTTAGATATTCAGACACAGCTTTAAATGGTTTTTCTACATACCTCTAGGGGTGGCTTGTGGATGCTGGGGTGCATGGAGTATCCCACAGAAGTGTGGGGTGCTCCCCAGGGCACTCAGCAGCGCACCTGGAAGTGGACTAGGAGCACTTCTGGTCCACTTCCGGGTCTGCTGGGGGAGTGTGCAGGGGGGGCCCCCTCCACATCCCCTGCGGCTTGGCAATTGGGTCAGGGGGGCACCCAGATCTCTCCCCCCCCCCCCCCCACACACACACACAGACAATTGCTGAGCTGTGGAGGCGTGGGGATGGGGGCCCCTGCACAATCCCCATCAGTACCAGAAGTGGCCCGGAAGTGTTCGCTGCCAAACATGTTGAGGGCCCCCCTACACTCCTGTGGGATGCTCCATGTGCCCCAGCATCAGTGTCCACAAGCCATGCTGGTACTTCAAGATATGTAGAAAAAAACATTTAAAGTTGTGTCTGTGTCCAAATTGCTGATTCTCCGAATCAGCATCAAATCTTCAGATTTGGCTGAATCGAATCGGACACAGTGATCTGAAACAAGTCGCTGTCCCTGATTCAGGCTGAATCCAAATTGAATGTGGCCTGCTTCGCACATCCCTACTGGTTTGTATTTTTGTTCTTGTTACTTGTAACATCCTCAGAATTTGTCAATGTTTTCCTTTTATTTAGTAGCTTCTTTAAACTGACTTATGTAAATTGTGTATTTTTAGATATGGAGGTGCAGAAAATGAAGAAGGCCGTGGAATCTCTAATGGCAGCAAATGAAGAAAAGGTAGTAAAACCGTCATTCAGATGGCATTCGTTTGTTGTGAGAGGTGCCCCTCTGTTAGGAGCTTGGATATAAATTGTCCCACTTTGCCATGGAAATTAAATTAGTAAGGGCCAAGGCTTCTTCCCATTGAAGTCAAATCCTATTTTGCAATTGATTTAAATGGGAATACAAGACAGTCTTTATGAGTTCTGTCTGGCACATCCTTGCCTGTACAAGTAGTTTGAAAATTTGGCCTTGGTTGTATAAAACAATATTCTAAATATCCCTTTCTTCATGAATGACAATATATTTAGCTTGTGTTTCAGTTTGCTATTAGAGATGAGGTGAAGCTGAGATCCCTCTTAAAACATAGTCTATTTGGACACAGTATTTTGCTTACATGTAGGTATCTACCAAAATTGGAAGGGGACTTACCAATTTTTGTGAACTGATCATAGTGTAAAGTTCTAATTCTGTGGTCATTTTGCAGCAGCCTCATCCCTTTGCACTGACTGGTAGAAAGGCCCCACCCCCTGTGCTGATTGGCTAAGAGGCCCCAGGGAAAGGAGGGACAAGGGGCCAGCCACCATCTTGATTTCTGGCTGTCCTTCATGTGGCCCCACCCCTCAGTGTTGTTTGGTAGGGAGGCCCTGGAGGAGGACAAGGGGCCAGCTGCCATCTTGTGTCTGCTGCCCTTCATGCTGCCCCATCAGCTGGCACCTTCCCCTCCCAGCAGTGAGGACTGCTGGCGCCCACTGGGGAGTCAACATTTTATTTTTATTAAGTGTTTTTTGTTGGATTTATGGACTTTGTGGACAATCTCGGATTTTGCAATTCTGCAAAATGTGTGAAGCTGCGAATTAATTACATTCCTACTTATGTGCATAATAAAGAGATCAGTTTTTGCCAAATGTAGATCCAGATTTAGATTTTCAACACCCTTGCAGTTCTGAGTTTCCATCTATGTAAATGTCTTAGACCAGGAGCGGGCAGTTATTTCAGGTGGAGGACCACTTACTGAGTTTTGGCAAGCTGTTGAAGGCCGCATGGGTAGCCCTGCCCCTTGACAGATGCCCCGCCCCGCCCCCTGGTCGCCATCTTGGCACTGGAAGTCCTGCCCCTGACCTCTGACCCTTGCCACTGGAAGTACCCTCCCCTTGCCCCTGGAAGTACTCCTTTGGGGAAGAGGGTTTGCCATCTTAGCGAAAAAACAAATTGCATACTAAAAATCAAACACCCATAATATATTTTAATTTAATTAAAACAAATACTTTGGTCCTGATTTGTGTGTGCTTGTGGTGTATATGAAGAAGTGATCGCATAAGGGGTTTGTGTAGGGGGTGTGGATGTGTGTGTGTGTGTGTGTGCGTGTGTGTGTGGGTATGGGAGCCATGTAGTGCAGAGTAGCTGGCCAGTGGACGGGCAGGAAAGTAAGGAAAGTGGCGGTGGGGAATGGAAGCGAGCGGGAGTGTGGGGCCTGCACCAGTGTCCTGGGGCCAGTGCCGGTGGGACCAAGAGTGGGGCAGTAGGAATGTGGGGTGTGGCCTGGCAAGGGTCTGTGGAGCCGGGCTGGGCTGCACCAGCAGGGAAGGGGGGAGTTGACCTGGCTCCATGGAGCCCCTGCTGGCTGGGACCCCGTGCCCCTGCTGCCCTGCTTTGAGCCCCGCAGGTGCTGGCCCCGGCCCCGGGACAGCAGCGCGGGCCCTGTGCTCCCGCCCAGCTGTTGCTGGCTCCCGCATGCCCGCTCACTCCCAGTGCCCCAGCCCCACAATATAGGCAGCATGCAGCACGCTGCCCTGACTCTGCACACCCCACGCTCACCCTCAGGGAATGAGCTGGTACTCAGTGCAGGGGAAGAGTGGCCCTCCCCTCCCCTCCCGTCCCTGTAGCTGGTGCCTCATGCTGCAGCCACTTGCTGTCCCATGTGGGGCTGTCCTGCCTGTCCATCATGTCACTGCCACTGCATGGGGCAGCGGTGGCAACAGAGAGTAGGCACTGACAGTCCCACACAGGCTTTGAGCAGCTGCAGCATGGGGCACTGGCCACGGGGAGGGGGAGTGGCTGCTTTTTCCCCTGTGCTGAGTACCAGTTTGTTCCCCAAAAACTGTTGCTTAGTGCGGAGGACAGCACCCCGCCCCACTTGCTGCCGCTGAACACTGTTTGCTGTGGCTGCCTGCCCAGAGCTCGCACCACGCTAGGCTACGGTGCGGCAGCTTCACCACCACCTCTGTGCTGCCCTGTGGGTGCTCAACATGGCCGCTGCTGCCACATTGGGCAGTACAGAGGCGGCAGTGAAGCTGCTTCATTGCAGGCAGCTGCAGCCGCTTTCCTCCATGCTGAGCAGCAGTTTCTGGGGAGCCAACTGGTGCTCAGCGCGGGGGAAAAGTGGCCGCTTCCCCTTCCCATGGTTGGCACCCTGTGCTGCAGCCACTCGGAGCCTGCAGGGCGGTGGTGACGCAACAGAGAGGCAGCACAGCCCCACGCAGGTTGCGAGTGACTGCAGCACAGGGCACTGGCTATGGGGAGGGGAGGGCCACTTTTCCATCGCGCTGAGCAGCAGCTCATTCCCCGTGGGTGAGCTCTGAACACGCGGGGTCGGGGCTGTGTGCTGCTCCCTGCCTGTACCATGGGGCTGGGGCGGGGACACTGGAAGTGAGCAGGCACATGGGAGCCAGTGGCAGGAGCACAGGACCAGTGCCAGTGGGGCCCAGAGCAGGGTGGCAGGAGTGTGAGGTCCCAGTCAGCAAGGGCTCTATGGAGCCGGGTCAGCTCCCCCCTCTCCCTGCTGGTGCACCCAACCCGGCTCCACAGACCCCTGCCAGCCCACGCTCCATGCTCCTACCACCCTGATTTGGGCCCCGCTGGCGCCGGTCCTGGGGCACTGGCACAGGCCCTGTGCTCCCACACACCACTCGCTTCCACCGGGCTGGGGGCTGGGGCCGGGTTGGCCCTACTGTTGCTGGAGCCTGCTGGGGCTTCCCCTGGGTCCTACTGCCCCTGTCTCCTGTCATCTTTGACAGGAGTGAGGGGCACATAAATATTAATTTTCTAAATTTTTTAGGGGCCCTGCAGGCCGGATAGAACGGCCTGGTGGACTGGATCTGGCCCATGGGCCGTATTTTGCTCACCCCTGTCTTAGGCAATTTAAGGTCAGAGATTTAATTTTTTTTATTTCCAACTCTTCACAAAGAAATCACTCTTACCAGACAGGCACTCTTTGTTTT